GCCATCCTCAGTAGGGGGTGTGCAGGAGACAGCTGATCAGTGATTCTCTCTCATCATTGATGTTTCTATCTCTCCCTTCCTCTCTGAAATCAATAAAAATATATCTAAAACACACACACACACACACACACACACACACACACACACACACACACACACAAGACCTTATGTAAGAAAGCTGATCAGCCCTGGCCGTTGTGGCTCAGTTGACTGGATGGCCAGTTTGATTCCTGGTGAGGGCACCTGCCCAGGTTGCATGTTTGATCCTCAGGAGGGGGTGTGCAAGAGGCAGCTGGTTGATGGGCTGCTCTCATATCAATATATCTCTTCCCCCCCCACCCCCCAAAATCAATAAAAATATTTAAAATGCAGGAAGAACACTGTGCAAATATCTCTCCTCAAGACTTCATTTTACTTGGCTTCTCAGCAGCTTTAAAAAATAAAATAAAAACAGAAAGCTGACCAAGCCCTAGCCGATGTTTGTCAGTGGTTAGAGCAGCAGACTGCAGACCGAAGGGTCTCAGGTTTGATTCCAGTCAAGGGCAAGTACCTGGATTGTGATTGCCCCGGGGCAAGTGCCGGAGGCAACCCATCGATATGCCCTCTTTCTCACATAGATGCTTCTCTTTCTCTCCCTGAAAACCAATGGAAAAAAGATCCTCAGGGGAGGATTAACCAAAAAATAAAAGAAAGCTGATCAAGTCACACACTCAAACTATAAAACATCCAGATTCCTAGAATATACGCCAAACATTTAAACGGCAAAGTGATCACAGTCTTGCATCATGTACTGCCAAACCACACAACAAAAGCTAACAAACAATATCCCAATAACTCAGAATTTCTTTCTGAGACCTAAGTTTGGGTAAAGGTAAACCACTGATGACACTGGGAATTCAGTAAAGAAAACAACATAGCTCTCAATTCCAGATGACATCTGGGGTCAAGTACAGATTCAGGCCTGTCTTCTCCCCTTCTGTGTCTGGGACAGCTTTCTTCTCCCTCCTGCCTGCAGGAACTTTTCAAGCAATGCATATTGAGGAGAAATATCCCAATTCCCCCCCCGCCCCCAACCCAGTCAAAACGCTCAATTTACAATGATGATAAAGCACCTCCTTTCCTAAGGCAATGAAGAAAATGCAAGCATTTTAAGGGAAAGTGGGAAAGTTTAGGATAAAGGCATAAAGGAGTTTCTGCTTAGTCCTCAGCTAACCAGAAAAATCAATTTAATAAAAAATGCTTTTACTGTAATAAGTCTCAATCATGCACTTAATAGTTTATAAATGGTTAAGGCACATTTCTTGATGATTTTCAAGTACTTCCTCCTCCAAATAAATTATAATAATGTAAGTTACCATTGCTTCATCCTTTGAATCTTTTTTTTCTGTTTTAAAATATATTTTTATTAATTTCAGGGAGGAAGAGAGATAGATAGAAACATCGATAAGAGAGATTCATTGATTGGCGGCCTCCTGCATGTCCTTCTAGGGACCAAGCCCGCAACCTGGGCATGTGCCCATGCACAGAGTCAAACCCAGGACCCATCAGTCTGCAGGCTGATGCTCTAGCCACTGAGCCAAACCAGCTTTCTTAGAATTTTTTTAAAGGCAACATGGAAGGAAAGCCATCTGGTATTTTTACTCTGACTATACTGCAGCCAAGATGCTTTACTCAGAGAAATATCAGAGAAACAATGGTTCACATACCAAGCCTTGGCATAACTGCTCCCAGAAACTGCTCATCTTCTTGGAAGTGGTTTTCTTGTAAGGATTCCAGCAATTTCTGCAAGACATCTTGGGGCACTTTGCAGCCAGTGCCCTTCAGTTCAGTAAATCTTGTTAATCGGAAGCTCTTGTCCAATTCATAACTTTCCGGGTTAAAAGACTCCCGTGTAGACATGGCTCTTGGGCGTACACACCTCACAGCTGGGCTCCTCTCCTCCCTCTCTTAGTCCACTGGTTTCTTCACAGATACACCTGAGTATCATCAAAACACAAAGACACCATTAAAAGGTTTCTCACTAGTATCTGCCAAGAATCAAGTGAATACATGAAAGTGAAAAGTAAATGTGAAAAGGGCTGAAATCAGTAAGACCACTGGGAAATGATGATCAGAGGCTATAACAGTTCAGTCACAGTGAGGCATAAACCAATTTTTTTAAAGTGACTATACCATCACAAGCATTTCTCTCTATATAAAAGCCTAATATGCAAAGTGTCCCCTCGGGAGTTCGATTGCTTGCTATGATGTGCGCTGACCACCAGGGGGTGGTGTGGAATGAACAGAGGCCCAGGCTGGCAGATGCTAGGGACCCTACCTGTGCAAATTTCATGCACTGGGCCTCTAGTCTTCTACATAAGATCTAATGTTTGTGGCTCTGAGGGGCAGCAAGACCCCCTCTGAAGAAGGAACTACGGGCCAGCTGGTTAACATGACACAGTGCCATCTTGAAAAGCCACAAATGCTTCTAGTGGGAAGCATTATGAGAAAACACCTAGTCACTTCATCTGTCAACCCAGAAGCACTGTGATTTAGAAATTAGATGTTCTGCTCAAGTGACTTTTCTGGAAAACTTTTCTGATATCTTTGCTATATCACATAGAAAAATAAAGCACCTACTAAATATTTGGCAGGAAAAGGACACTGATGAAAAGGCAGCTGATGAAATTCTTCATGATGCTAAATTCAACTTTAGAAAACTGAGCCAGAAGTATACAACACGATCCAAAACTAATAGGTAGTCTCACTAAAGAACACAACTTGAAAAATGGAATGGCTGTTTAACACAACAAGGTTAAAGGGTGGCATAAAGTTTCAATGCAGTGCTAGTTCCTAGAAAGCAAACATCTGCTCAATACACTTGTACACACACATCACTGACAAAATATGCTACTGCATACTGTCACTGCAGAACTAAAATGATCACTTATGCTGTACTAACTCACTAGTACCTGGTACCACTTCAAGTTTCTGGAACACGCACTTCCGAGTTTGAAACCTTTGGGGCTACACCAAAAGCTCGCATGTGTTCTCAGAGTTTACAAACCTCCAGACCGATATTTTATTGGGCATAGAATTACGGACACCCAAAGTTACAGGATCAGTTTCCCTTATAAAATGTATGATCAAGAACATAATTCCCATTTATAGAGTTTTCAACCCCCTGGGAAGGACATCACATTTAAATAAATCTCACAAAGCCCGAGTTTGGGCAGTAATCCAAACCGTCTTTACAAAAACATATCTGGGGTGAGCAAGAAGTGTGGATTGAAAGCTACAACCGTGCAACTTTCCAAGAAAACAACCTGTCCAAAAGGAGGACGGCAGGAGAGCAAAAAGCAAGTGGCCAAGATGGAACTTTGAAGCCATCTGAGAGTTAGAAAAGTCCATCAGCACGTTGACTTGAAAAAGTCTGGAACAAAAACAAATCCTTTCCTCTCAAAATGCTTCGCATTTAACAGCGACAGGCCTACCAAGAACAACAAAAAAACCCAACTCACGAGGCATCCAGTTATTTTCCTACTCTAATCCCTATTCAAAGAAAGAAAGAAAAAACAGGCGGGGAGAGGAATTTGGAATTTTGGGGACTAAAGTTCCTTTAAAATATAATTTATATACCAAGACACTAGAAGTCCCTAAGGCACTCAGGAGTTTTAAAGTTCCAACTGGCATAGAGACACCAATCACAATCAGAACCTTAAAGAGACACATTCTCGTACTTTGGGGAAGGGCGTGGGGAAGGCGGGCTGCTTGGGAAAATAAGCAATAAGTGGAGGCGAGGGGGAGAGGGAATGTGCATATGTGCAAAGTAAGAGTTAGTTAACTCCAAGCCCAGAGCCGCCTGTTTACACCTTTAAAACAATAACCTGAAAAAAAAAATAACATGAATATTTAAAGTAAGGTTAACTCTTTCCTTCCCGGGCCACGTTTACATTTCTTTGAACCAGATGGCGAGGCGGGAGGCACGGCTGAGGGACCACGGCCAGCGCGGGGAGAGGGTGCAGCCGCTGCCTATACCCACCTACCTCCGGGCCCCTAAGCCCAGGACACCAACAATGGAGGAGACGCGGCGACGTGGGCGCGCCGACCAGGCGCTCGCCGTGAAACACACATGGAAGCCGCCGGAGCACGGAACCCCGGGACACCTGGACTCTCAGGCTGTTGCTTTGAAAGGCCAGCCGGGCCCGGGCTCTTTGTGCGGCGCGGCGGGCTGGCCGCGGCCGGGGAAGGCAGGGCGGTGTG